ACCCTTCCTCCTGTATCCTTTCTTTGGGAATGGTCCTCCTCACCCCCTCATATAGAGATAGGTGCTGTAGTGTGTGTGGGTGAGTGGAAGAGAAAGAGGCCAAGGTCGGGCATTGCTTATTTAACTCACAGCAGGCACAGCACACTTTGTTAGTGGATTTCTTTCTCTGGCTCACACTGAAGGACCTTACGGCCCTCTCTGGTAGGTTACCATCTCTGTGCTCCCTCCTGGTCAGTGCATGGTCACCTTGCTCAGCCCCCTCCCAACTGCAGAAGATCTAACTCCAGATCCCAACCCTCCCTCAGATACCTCCCTGGGGATCATTCACAGCCTCCTGCTGCTTGGGTCCTCTTCCTTGGCAGTCCACATACTGGTGTGAGTCTCTTCTTCAGTGTCCACTTCACCTCCAGAAGACGGGCACCTCTCTGCCATGACAACTAAAGGAACAGGCTGCTCCACAGACGCCCTCTGTCTGCCCTGCTCTCTCAATGAGGCTCTAGTTTACTACTTAAGTGGTAACAGAGGAAATCAGTGAGGCTAGGTTCTAATCAGATGCTCAATGAGAATGAGAAGTCTGCATTCCCTTCTTGAAAGTGTTCCCAACCGTTTTGAGTTATGATTTGGGAAGACCCTCTGTTTAGCTCTCAGAGGTGCTGCAGCCCAGCGTTTCCACCCAGCAGTCATAGATGGCCCCTTTCTCCAGTCTACTGTTACAGAAAGCATGGTGGTGGTTGGTGTGGTGCTGAATGAGGGTTGCAGGTAACAGCGAGGTTCAGCCGCCTCTTTTTTAAAGCCACTTTATTGAGGTATGATTGACATGTAAAAAGCTGTACATATTTAATTTATGCAACTTGATGAGTTTGAGGATACATACACAACTGTGAAATCATCACCACCATCTAGGTCATAGACTGATGTATCTATCACCTCTCAAAGTTTCTTTTTCTTTTACTATAATAATAATAATTTTTTTTGGTGGTAGAACACTTAAAGTAAGCCTATACTGTTAGAAAATTAAAAAAATATAATATTGCATTTATAGCTACAGGTACTATGCTTTATATTTGATCTCCAGAACTTACTTATCCCAAATAACAAAACCTTTGTCCCTTTGACCAACATCTCCCCATTCCCACCTGTCCCCACACCAGCCCCTGGTAACATCATTCTGCTCTCTGCTTCTGCGAGTTTGGCTATTTTAAATTCCATGTATAAGTGAGATCATGCATTATTTGTCTTCCTGTGCCTGACTTATATCACTTAGCATAATCTCCCACAGTTCCATACGTGCTGTCACAGATGGTAGAATTTCCTTCTTTATTAAGGCTAAGAAATATTCCATCGCATGTGTATACCACAATTTCTTTATCCGTTCATCCCTCAGTGGACATACGGTTTCCATATCTCAGCTATTATGAATAACGCTGCAATGAACATGGAAGTACAGAAATCTTTTCAATGTACTGATTTTGATTTCGTTAAATATATATGCAGAAGTAGGATTGCTGGATCATACCCTCGTGGAAAGACTCAAGGAAGGTATTCGGCTTTATTTAGAATGTGTGACACTTAATGCTTCTTTGTTCACAGTTTTATTTGCTAATTCTGGAATAACAGGAAAATTTCCACTTTCTTTTCTATATACTTACAACACACACACACAGACACACACACACACACACACACACACACACACACACACACACACCCCATGGGTGAGAGAGAGAAAGTGTAGCAGGGGCTTTGCTGAAATATTAACAGTGGCTGTCATTGGGTTATAAGATTAGAAACTGTTTTTCCCTCTTCTCTGTGCTTTACTGCTTGCTTCACCTTTTCTGCAATAAAAGTGTACCCAGTGTATCTCTCTTAAAATAAGAAGATGAAGTACAATAAACATGATTTTAAAACTGCAGCACCATTCCACAGATAGAACAGATGTGAGAGGCAGGGGCTTGGGTTTTCTGACCTCCCAGGGCTCTCTGCAGGCTCATGATTTTATGAAACATCAGCTGTTTCGAATTCCTGCAGCACCTGGCACAACAAAAGGGGCCTTTTGCTGAGCATACTAATGCGGTTGCACACGCCTTTATAGAACAAAGAAATCAAAATGAGGAGTTCATTGAGCATTCTTTGGACACTGTCCATTCCACGCTGCCCAGAGCTCTCTGGGGGAGATAGAAATCCACCTGCAAGGGAAGATGTCCTATGTGGAGTGAGTCCCCACCACCTCCCTTTTGTTCTTTCTGGTCTCCTCCCTCCTTTTTCTGGTCCTCTGGCTCCCATTTGGCTCACACCTCAGCTACTGCCTTATCTGCAGACCCCTACTGCCTCATCTGCTCCTCTGACTATGCCTCTGAATTCTCTCATGAACTCAACTTCAGCCCCACACTTTACAACTGTGACTGAAAGACAGGTTGGCTTCCCGGGAGGCAAAAGCTACAATGAACAGGCTGCCTCTCAATCCTATTAGCTTCTTCCTGTCTGCTTTCTCATACACCTGGCTGGTTTTTTGTAGTCTTCAGGATTAGCAACCCTTCCCTTGGCTTTGCTGAAAGAAGCCATGCTGATGTCCACTTCTTCATAGTATAGCATCTTTTCAAGGTTGAGGTGACTTCTGCCATCCTCATCAACGGAGGGATGCTAAGGACAGAGAGTATGTTCCTCTTCCTACCCCCTCACTCACTCTGTCTCAGGGACGGAGGGATTGCCAGTCTGACTGGTCTAGGCTTAGTGCCCTCTGGGACATGTTTATTGGAGATTGAGTTCACTGCACTTGAAAGGCAAGATTCCAATCTCCACATTTCCTTGTGCTTGAACATAACCGACTCTCTTCCATCTTTTTCTCTGACTTAGTAAACATTTCCTACTGAGGATTCCATCCATCCCCAGGGTAAGCTGGTGCCCACTGAACTCCCTTGTGAGTGGGGTGAAGCAGTTCTGTCATTCTTACCTGTACAGCTTTCTGGCCCAGTGCGCTAAGTCTTGCTGTTGACTGGTTATATAGCTTTCTTCTCCAGCATGCTTGAGATTGTTCCTCTCAGGATTTTAAACTTAAGCCACGCTCTTGAATCCAGCTTTGATCAGGGATCTACAGGGGAACTGTCACAAACTGAGAACCTGTGAACTAAGCGAAAGGTTTTCACTTGACCATTGTTTGTTGGGTGTAAATGTCCAGTGGAGGTGAAGAGGAAGGCTGGACACTACTTTGTGGATGCTGGGGATTGAACTGACAATCCATGAGAAATTCAGTGCCCTTGGCTTGGTTTTGGAATAATCTGCCATTTATTCCACTGGGTTACATTCTCCCCTTTGTCTACATTAAGGTGCTGCTCTAGGAACTCCAAGCTTTTGCAATAGTGGGGGTGGAATTCTCATACTTCTCTTTCGTCCAGAACCAGCCTCCTCCTGACTTGGGCTTATGCAAAGAGAGATAATATGCAAATGAGATCATAGATTCCATTTCTTTTTGGGCCAGTAGGATTTAACATAGTGCATGTTATACCATTAGACACCAATAAGTCTTTGTATAATCCCTCTTCCTCCTGGTAGAATCTATGATCTATGATCTCATTGGTACTAACTCTAACAAGCCTAGGATATTCTGTTGGGAGCTGGTAGAAATTACACAAGACCGAAAACTTAATGACATGCCTTCCCACCCTACAACCTCTTATGTCTAGGTGGAAATAATTCAAAATGTTGCGGGAACTTCAATCCTTTTTTTCCAAGTGTCTCATAGGAGGGAACTGGGCAGAATATCATGATCTCTTTGCTTTAAGAAAGTGGTAATTTTTCGGTGGCTCACTCTTGTAATCCCAGCACTTTGGGAGGTCAAGCCAGGCAGATCATGAGATCAGGAAATCGAGACCATCCTGGCCAACATGGTGAAACCCCATCTCTACTCAAAATGCAAAAATCATCTGGGTGTGGTGGTGTGCACCTGTAGTCCCAGCTACTCAGGAGGCTGAGGCAGGAAAATCGCTTGAACCCAGGAGGTGGGGGTTGCAGTGAGCCGAGATTGCGCTACTACATTCCAGTTTGGCAACAGAACGAGACTCTGTCACAAAAAAAAAAAAAAAAGAAAAAAAGAAAAGAAAATGGTAATTCTTTACCAATGTGAGCATAATGGTTTAGTGAAGTAGACCTCCCCGGTTTAAGGAAGGGGGAGCATAGCATAGTGATTGCGAACATGGACTTTGGGTTCAAACAAATTAGGGTTGAAACCTGGCTTGATTAATAACTAGCTGTGAAATCTTAGACAAATTACTTAATCTCTTTCAGTATTGTGAATATTCTTTTTGGTGGTAAAATGAGGGATAATTATAACTAACTCATAGAGTCATTATAAGAATTAAATGCGATAATGTAAGCAAAGTTCTTCAGCACAGGCCTTGACATATGGTAAGCTCCCAATGTATGGTAGCTACCATTCTGTCTCATCATTGTACTAAACACATTCTGTCTCCTAATGTGATGGGTTAAAATGGAGCAGGAAAAACTAGGGCAGGCAAAGTGAATAGATCACAGTCAGGTGTCAACCTCAGGTAGGGCCCGGGTGAAGACCTAAGGTCAAAGAGGGAAGGATGTTCAGGACACAATGAACAACTATTCTCAGAGAGATGTCTGCATCCTCCCTAAACTCACCAAAGAGCCTTGTTCAGGGTCTGGGTGGAAATACACTTGGATACTGGAAAAGGCAATAGACTTCATTTGAGAGGTGGGTTTCCATCACTGCCTTTTCTCTAATTTGCTGAGTTCCTGTGGCAGATTGCAAAGGTGGTTTCAATTCTTAATCACTATAGCCTTGTCTCTGCTATGTAGCTTTGTGGACCTTCATGCTAAAGATGGACTCTTTTATCCATGTCTTGAATCTGGGCTAACTCTGTGACTTGTTTCGTCAAGTGTATCAGAAGTAATGGTTTCCCAGTTCCAAGTCTAGACTTCAAGAGGCCATGTGTTTCCATCATACTTACTCTCTGTCTCTCTGTCATGGCCATAAGAACATGCTGGGCTGTAGCTTGCTGAAGGATGAGAAACACATGAGCAGAGCTGAGTCATTCCCACAGGACCCAGAAGCAGCCTGAACCAATCAGTGGGCTGCGAGCCATTTCCAAGCTATTTGGGTGATGAGCACAGATGAGCAGAGCCAACCAGCCTAACATCTTCGATGCATGAACAATAAAGGCTTATTGTTGCATGAGGTTTTATGTGTTTCATTTTATTTAGCATTGCTGTGAAGATAGATAACTGAACAGTTGCAATATAACTTCATCTTATTTGTGATTTTGAATTCATTCATTCACTCAACAGGCATCAAGTACCTACCGGGTATCAACCCCGTGCTGAGGATTGTTGGGGAGACATTGTTTGGTGATAGCAAACAATAATAACACATGAGACCATCAACTGTCTTGTTTATTCACCAACATATTCTCCTGACCTAACAGAGTAAGTTGGCACTTAGTAGATGTTCAATAAACATTGGCTCTCTTATGAAGACATAAAGATGCAACACACATATGTTGTTGCATGTGAGTATATTGTGTGTGTGTGTGTGTGTGTGTGTGTGTGTCTTTGTCTGTGTCTGTGTTCCAGATAACAAATTAAATATGTCATTAAAGTATGTAGGCCCATTTTTCTTGCTCTTCTCTGGAATGGCAAAAATAATTTCCTATTCTTTTCTCCACCGTCTTTTTTTTTTCTTTTCCTTTCCCCTCCTGCAATGTCAGTAGCAGAAACTGCAGCCTGCTGTTAAAGTTACCTCTATAATGGAATGTAGATGTATAAATCAAAACAGCTTCTAACGGCTTGTCTGCAGTAATAAATGCTACGGAGGCTGCCCAACTGGCAGTGTAAGAGAGATTATACAAACTGCTGCCTGGAGAAAACACAGCATCATGAATAAACTCAGCTTTGAATTATTTATATATTTTAGGCGTTATTTTCTCTCCTCAATCCACAAGGCCTGGGAATGATTTTCACTGGGAGCTGAGAGTGTCTGAATTTGGCTGTAAAAGGAAAACTGTTGCAGTATGTCTTAGTCCAAGTTTCTGGGTGAGGATGGCATTGTGTTACATGAGGAGTCAGCAAGGCTGGCAGTGCAGCGCAGTGAGAAGACGCTGCTTAGAGCTCAGGAGAAGACAGTTCTAATCCTAGGAAGCTGTGTCTAGGGGCTTTCGGGCTTTGTGGACCACCTTGGACCCACACAGTTGGATGGAGAGCCCCAGGGCCTACCTCTAACACTTCTACCAGAGGAAGCTGCTTCATTCTCTTTTATGAAGTAGATTTCAATCTAAGACTTTGTTGTGGAAAAAATGGTTTTATTATAAAAGGAAAAGTTTGGAAATCAATGGTGTGGTTTGAGACTCTATACAAATGAGCCTCACCTCCTCCTGCCCGCTAGAGACTCTGGGGACCCTTTAAAAACTATTAATGCCAGGGTCTTAGTCTTTATCAATTAAATCAGAATTTCTGGGTAGGGATGGACGTCAGGATTTTAAAATGTACCCAGATGACTCTGATGTGAAACCAGGGTTGAGAACCACTTCTTCAAACCCTTCATTCATCTAACGGGACAAATATTGAGCCCCTGCTGTCAGCCAGGCATTCAGAAGAGGACGGGGGTTCAAGTGAAGAATGGGACAGGCCCAATCCTTGCCTTCATGGATTTCTTCATTTAAGTAAACTCACAGCTGCAATTTGTAGGGATATGCTCCCATACGGGAGTATGAAATACTGTGACAGTAATAGCAGCAACTCTAATAGCAATAGTGATGTTTATTACTGGGAGAACGTCGTTTTAGTCTGTTTTTTTTGAGATGAAGTTTGGCTCTTTGTTTTCCAGGCTGGAGTGCAATGGTGTGATCTCGGCTCACTGCAACCTCTGCCTCCTGAATTCAAGCAATTCTCGTGTCTCAGTCTCCCAAGTAGCTGGTACTACAGGCTCCTGCCACCGTGCCCGGCTAATTTTTGTATTTTTAGTAGGGATGGGGTTTCACCATGTCGGCCAGGCTGGTCTCAAACTCTTGACCTCAGGTGATCTGCCTGTCTTGGCCTCCCAAAGTGCTGGATTACAGGAATGAGCCACTGTGCCTCTTTTTAAAGAATTTAAAAAGTCTTTTTATAGACTCAGGCATTGTGCTAAGTGATTTATATGAAGTATCTTATTGGATTCTCATTCCAAGTCTGTAGATCATAGGTACAGTTACTCTCTTTGTTTTATAAATAAAGTACATGAAGCCTAGAGAGGGTAACTTGCCCAAGTTTACACAACCCATAAAGGTGGAGTCTAGGGGAAGGGGTACCCCGCCCAGCCTTGGCAAATCAGGATGATGTCTCTGTGCTTCTCGACCCTTTGAGTACACTGTGGAGCTGCAGAGATTGGAGATCAGAATGGATGTCAGAGTATATGTGGTAGAATGGAAGCTTAAGTTTTTCAAAGCATTGCACCAGCATAAATCAGGGCCTTGCATGCATACATGTGTGAGCACACACACATACACACACACACTCACAAAGTATTACTGGCAGAAAAGATTATGAGATGACACTTTTATTTTACAAGTGAGCAAACAGACGCAGAGACAGCTGATGGTACAGGCTTTGCCATGCCGGGGATAAGAATCCAGTTATGCTGATGTCTTCTTTGAGGGCTGTTTCACTCACCCTGCTGTGACTCAGCTTTCAGTGTGCTCTTCTGGCTTATAATCCCAAGATTCGAGGGAAATTCCGCCCGATTTCACCAAATATATTTTCACCTGTCATTGCATAACAAGGTGTCCTGATCTTGCAGTGATTCACCCTGCAAGTACCTTGATTCACCCAGCCCACACCTCAAATTTTTGATGCCCCATTTCCTCCCATAAGCAGGCATTGTGCCTTCAGTAGGTGGTGGAGAACTTGTCATGAGAATGCCATAATCCTTTCCACATGTTTGAAATTGGGACTTTTCTAAGCTCCTTAGCAACGATTGTCTCATATAACCTTTCTAGAAGTCCTGTCAGTAGACAAGAAAGTTGCCATTATCAGCCCATTTGGGAGGTGAACTGACTTGGGTGCAGAAATGACATGCCCCAGGCTCCTCCTGGGAATTGATGTTGTTATGGTAACAGGATGTTGGTAGCTACTGGGTAACTCCAGCCACACCCTCCCTCGCCTTCACACAATGTCTTCACAGTTCCATCTGCATTTGCTCCAGCTGTGTTTCCACCAACCTCAGCACTGGTTCCTCCTTGCTGAGTCATTTAGGCTGACTCAACTTCTGAACTCCGGAGATTCCCTAACTGCATGCTTGAGTTAGGGAAACGTGTGTTTGTGTATTTGTGTGTGTGCATGCATGTGCATGTGTGAGGTGGTCCTTATTAAATTCTCATCAAAACACTTCAGAATATTTGAACTGGCCACCACCTGACCACCTACTGATATCTGAGTGTCCCTCTTCCAAGGTAGAAATGTAGTTCATTGCTCTTTCCCAAATCTGATTTGCAAGAGCTGCTGCTCCTATAGTTCCACTCATTCCCCCCACTACTTTTTTTCCTCTCTTTTCATTTCTTTATTCCTTCTTCTCCTAACCATTACCAACAGTTTAGCCAAGATAATATAAAAATTTCTCTAGAGTATTGCTCCGTCAATTAAAGTGTTAGAGGCTCATATTGTTCTTAAAATCTAAATGATGCAATGAAAGAGAACATTGTTTCTGAGCAGTTCCTTGAGCCTCACTATTTGTATGACTGATTGGACTTCACCCAAGTTGAACCTTTGGAGAATCCAAATTGCTCCCTTGATACTTTTTCCTTCTTCAGGCAAAACAGAAGCTCTTGTTGCGGGAGTCAGGATGGGTACAGCAGCCATTCCACTCAGCGGATCTCATGCTCAGTAGGATGAGGGCCAAGAGCTAATCACAGAGAATTTTGGAACCTGGGTCAAATGGGGGCTTTCAAATAGCCCTGTTGGGAAGAAAACATATGTACCAGGCTGTGTAGGGAGTCAGCAAATAGTTCATCAGAGACCCAAGGTCAATGCTGGGTCCAAAGAGATTGCAAGAAGTGAGGCTGATGGGGAGCAGTTGTCCCAGAACTGTGTAGCTTTGACAAATGCTCTGTGCTCACTTTACCATGTCCCGTTAAGCTGAAAGCATTTTTAAGCCTGTGGGTTTTTAAGCAGAGCATCTGGCTTGACTAGTGACATACCTAGTCATTGTATGGGGCTGTTTGGAGGATTTAACCCTTGATGAATGTTAACTGATGGGAAAGCTTCACCCTGTGTCTTCAAAGAATTTAGAAGAAAGAGGATGGAACAGACAACCTTTCCTGGGAGGACCCTTTCTGTCTCCAACTCTCCCGCCCCAGATCTTTTAAGGGCAAAAAGGGGCTGTTCCTATATCATGAGGCTTCTAGTCCAGAGGGACAGGACCCTTAGAAGGCAAGCCCCTGAGAACAGTCCCCTTTTTGGTGGGGAGGAGGGGTGCTGAAACTCTCTAACACTTACATGTGATGATTTTCCCTTCTGGAAAGCACATGAGATTAACTGATGATGTTATAAAATACGTATTTTTTACAGAAATATATAGGGAGAAAGCTGCTGCTTAGTGTTCTACATGAGGGAATTGAAGTGTACTCATAATTTCTGCCTCTCTTTTCTCTCATCTATTGCTTGGAACAGAAGCCCTGTGGGGCTACAGAGCTTTAGCTAACTTACCAGCAATCTCTCCATAGTGTGCCCTTAAATTCTGAAACCCGGAACTGTTGGGATGACTGAAAAGTCTCATCTTCAGACAGAAAACTGGGAGTGGTACTTTTTTTGCTCCTTTGAAAGAGAATAAGGGGTGTTAAACCCTCTCTGTGAGTGCCCTGAAACTCCATTTTGCTGTGCCAAGAAAGGAATAAAGTGCTGTATTTGTTTTCTAGAGCTTCCTTAACAAATTATCATGAACTGATTGATTAAAAAACAGAAATGTACTCTGTTAGAGTTATGAAGGCCAGAATCCCAAATCAAAGTATCACCAGGACCATGCTCCCTCCAGAAACTCTGAAGAAGGATCCCTCCATGCCTCCCTGTGGCTTCTGGTGGTTACCAGCTACCCTTGGCATCTCCTGGCTCCTGGATGTGCAGCTTCAGTCTCTGCCTCCATCACTGTGTGGAGTTCTCTCCATGTGTCTCTGTTCACTTGTGTCCAAATGTTCATCTTCTTATTAGGACACC